CCTGTATCCTAGCCGCGTGTAGGGAGTTGAGTTGGGTGCTGAGGAACCCCGTGGCCTCATGTGTGAACTGGGCCCTGTCAGGAGGTCCTGTGTTGACTGACACAGAGAGAGTCACGTTTATGTCTGAATCCTGCTCGAGATGGAGAGACTTTGCCCAATGATTCTGTTGTAATTGAGATGTTTGACTGAGGGACAGAAGCTTCAGCCCCTCCCCCAGAATGCCTGCTATCTGTCTGTTCTTCTTCCTGGAAGGAGAAGAGTGAGGCAGCGTGTTTGCTGTACTGAGTCTTTGCAGTCGTAATCATGGGCATTTGTCCTAATTATGTCATTTGCTCCAATGAAAACCCTTCTGCATGCGTCCTTCATGCAAGAATTATCCCTGTGCTTCTAAATGGGAATTATAGGACCTGACACCCGCAGGCCTTGGGCTGTGAAATAAGTCCCGACCCTGTTACTAGTGCCCATTTTAATCAGTGGGGATGTTGGGTGGGTGGGTCTGGCTTGAAACATTGACCTTCACAGCAAACGTCTAAACCTCGTGGGAGGCGATCCTTTCAGGCCGTGAAATTGGCTTGAGCTCTGCCTCCAGCCACCACCTTGTTCCCCTCTATTTGCCCACTCAACCAATAACCTGGGAAGTGGTTTAAAAAATGGCACCTCAGAGGAAAGGGAGGAAGGGAAGATAAGTGAATGAAAAAAAAAATAAAACTTTTGTCATTAAGCTGTTGGACTGTGATGCTAAGGATTGGGGATACAAAAGTAGTGAGACCTGCTCTCAATGAACTTCCATTCACCTTGGGCAAAGGACCACACAGGGAGGAGTAGGGTCTGGCCAGGGAGTTTGGGGCTGGGAGCCCCAACTGGGGGAGTTGGAAGCCGTGCACTATTAGTTTCAGTACCTACCATAAGCCAAGGAAGAGGTGGAAAGTGGAAGTGGGGTTGGGGTTGGGGAGAGGGTCCTTGGTGGCAGAAGATGATGAGGTAGCTTGGGGGCACCTGCTTGGGATGTGCGTGGACTTTCATCTGAGGCGAGCTCGAGTTAATGCCCTGAGCTCATCCTGGCCCACCTGATCACTCATTGCATTCACTTCATTTGGAAGGAATGGATTTAGCATTCCCAGTTATGGTGCTCACCAAGGTCCAGGGTTGTAGAAATGTCCACTATGGTCTTGTCACTTTGATTCAACAACCATTTAACAAGTCCCTACCATGGGCAAGCTGGAGGTCTACAGGCACAAAGGAAGTAGTGTCTGGCCTTTTAGAAACTGACCAATGGGACACATCTGGTTCCCTCCAATTTCTGCTTTTCCCCTAGCCCCAGCGCCTGTACGGAGCCTTCGGCTTGGCATCTGCCCTCTCTCCTTGGGGGGAGAAGCACCAATCTTATGGAGGGAGGGTGGGCAGCCCAGTTCCCTGCTTCACCTCCAGCTTGCCTCCTGAAGGTTAACCTCGTGCTGGTGGAAGGCCTCTGCCTTCTTCTAGCTTCTGTAGTAGATGTTAAGAAAGCGTGAGTGAGTCTGACTCACTCCTGGCCTCCCGCTCTTCATTTTGTACTGACGACAGAGAAGAAGGGTGGGCTTTGGCGCATCTCCGAGGGGAGGCTATTTATTTCATGGCGCTAGGATAGAAAGCTAGTCTCCTTCTGTGGCGCTCTTTTAAATCCAGGCTTTAGGTGGGGTCTGGACTAAAAGCCTTCACTGACTCCACGTTCTAGTCAGCTCAAGTCATTTCCAGCTATTTAATTTTCTTTAAATAATTTTCTGTCATTTTGTTCCCAAATTTTATGCAATGTGCTGAAGTAAACATTATCTTTATATGTGTTTTTTAATAAAAAATTTAGATTCATTGAAAAAAAACCACAGCCAAACTTGGACAGTTTGAGTAATCTAGTTCTGTATGGAACGCTGTTATCACCAGTTCCCTGCTAAAGGAAAAGCCACCTTTTGTTTGAAGTCTCAGTAATGGGTCATTGTTAATTAACTAATCTGTTTCAAGAAAAGAAAAGAACTGAATAGCGACTCATATAAAAATAATAATTTCAGAATCATTTTTAAATGAAATTTGTCCTACTTTAACGAAATTTTATTTTCCATGAAGATCATGGGCAATGGCTCTCCACCGTGATTCCTGTTGAGAGAAGCTAGTGTCTTTGTGTGTGTCTGCCTCTCTGCCTCTTTAGCCAGTTGGGAGGCCGCTGACCACTGCGGCGGCTCCGGCCTGGGACTCACTCTGGAAGCCGTGACCTTCCCTGGGGCTGCTTAGGCACCTCGTGTTTACATGCCAGCTTTCGTTGTGCTCCCTAGAAAGCTGCTAACATTCCAGGCCTTGTACTGAGATGGTTGTAAGTCTTCAGACAGAAGGTGGGCCAGCTTGTTCGAAACATTTTTATAACTTTAATTAGAAACTGTAGAAAATACAGGAAACACATTTTCCCCCACATGAAACAATCGTCCTTCCTTCCTGGCGCAGGGTCACCTTACTTGTTCCTTTTCTTTCACAAAAATACTTTTGAATATAGTTTACCTATCTACAAAGATTGTTAGCCTTCGCGTGGTTTTACCATAGAGGTGAACTGATCATTAAAGCCCCAGAGTCCAATGGGCTGCCCTGGCATCTCACTGAGCATTTGCAATTCATTTTCCTTATGAATGGTTTACAAGGCAAGAGCCCACCCGTTCGCTTCAACATTTTTGTAGACTAAAAATACTTAGAACTAAAATGGATTTAATATGGAATAAGGAGAAAATAGGACCCAAATTTGAAACGTGGGTTCAAACTCCTTGGAAAGATGCTCACTGCTTTCCTCTCCTCTCCTCTCCTTTCTTCTCTCCTCCTCTCCCTCTCTTCTCTTCTCTTTCCCCCTCTCCTTCCTACTGTCTTTCCTTCCTTCCTTCCTTCCTTCCTTCCTTCCTTTCTTCCTTCCTTCCTTCCTCCTTCCTTTTTCTCCTTCCTTCCTTCCTT